GTGGTTGGCGTAGTTGAAGGTGTTGTAGTTGTGATAGGAGTTGTGGTTATTGGCGTAGTTGAAGGTGTTGTAGTTGGTATGGTTGTGGAAGTAATAGGCTTTGGTGTTGTGCTGCACATTATTGTCTTGCAACACTTTACCCTAATTTCATAATTATAACATATTGGAGGCATCTGTAAGATGTTCCTACACAGAAGTCCTTGGTTATTACATGTAACCTTTTTTTGCAATTGGTCTATTGGAATGTTGGGATAGTGTTTCGATCGGCATTCCACTGCCAATGGATTCTCACAGATTTCAAATCCTTTCTGGATGACGTGTTTGATGGTTTCATTGTCCCCACCTCCAAAACCCTGTTCAGGGTAGTCTGAACTTATCCATTCTGACCAGGTGCATAATGTTTCCTGACAAGGTGTTGTAGGTATTATTGGCGATTTTGTAGTTGGGATTGGAGGTGTTGTAGAAGGTATAGGCATTGTTGGGCATGCACTATAGTCACAACACAGAACTCTGATTTGGTAGTTAAAGCACAAGGCCAGTGGTCCTGATTGGTCTTCATTCCTGCATGTCAGCCCGTTAGCCAGATTACATTCCACCACTTGTCCCAAATTGTCAATGGTGACATTTGGAAATTTCTCAGCTCTGCATTGGATCTGGCTTGGCTTAGCACATATCTCGTGCCCTGCCTCTCTTATATCTTCGTAAATTTCACTGTCTCCTCCTGGAATTCCCAGTGTAGGGAAGCTAGTATCATACCATGGTGACCATTCACAAGGACTACATGGGACTGTAACCGTGGGAAGCTCTGTGGACACACATAATATAAGTGTTGGTTAAGTGGTAAAGCTTACAGTATATAGCTAAATATGTCTTCAGTTTCCAAAATGAATACTTTGCAGTACCTGGTGAGGTTGATGTAAAAACAAAGGTGGTTGGAGACTGACTGGCTGCAGTAGTGGGCATATGTGTTGTCTGTGTGGTTACTGGGCATGGATATGAACTCTTATCTATGGTACCATTCTTCCCACACACTGCTGTGATGCAGTTACCATGTCCATCTGTTGTGTTATAGATGGTGTCGCCGAGGGGATACTTGTTTCCACGATATGTGCAAGTGCAGGCTGTAAATAGAGCAGATGTATTGTTAAAATAATAACCATTAACAAAAGTTAGTATTTTTACAACCCACAATCTCTCCCAGTCTTTGCATACCTTGGGCATCGTAATGGCATTGGATGGTCATTGAACTGCATGTACTTCAAGAAAGAAAACATGAAATATATTTGTCATTTCACCTGTCACAAAGTTAGATAACCTTGTTTGGGACATGTGATATATTCAATACCTACCATGTAAGACAGTTTTCAGTTGTTGGCACTTTGTCATTATCATTATAGTGTCTCCCCTCTTTATCGTAGCAGCCGCATTGTTCTCTCGAAACACATGTCATTGTATCCTCATCAAAGTATGGCTGTGTAGGAGGACATGTTGGATAGCAACCTAATTGAAAAACAAACAACTGTTGCAACTCTTTGCAAGAAATCGGTTCCTCAATACTTGTCATTATTATTGTGTTCACCTGACATTGTGGTTAAATGAGTGATATTATTAAGCAACTCTTTAAACATAACTTTAAAAAATACAGCCAATGTTTATGTTAAATCTTAAATTTATTTTGATTGGAGATTAGGTCATTTTCTAAAAACCTCATGCTTGTGGCATACCTTCTAGTGGAGGAATCTGTGTAGAGCAGTTGCCTGAGGGGTTCCTGCAGGTTTTCATACAAGGAGATCCGCATGGCATGTAGTGCCATTCACATTCACCAGGGGGATTGTAGTAATCACAGAAAAGAGCTGGAAAAAAGAATACTACTTAGTGTAGGCACATTCCAGACTGGACAGTAAATGGGACAGGAAACTTTAAAAGGCTGAGGGAAGAAATATAGTTATCACTGATAACAAATGGTTGTAATTGATACGTTATTGAGACAAGTTATTACAGATTTAATAGACTTTCCTCCCTTTGTCTTAAAAATAAGTTTAGTTCAGATGTACTGTATTAACTGCGTGCTTATTGTTGCTTTTAAAAATGAAATGTTTCATCTTGGTTACTCACGACAGATCTTTGGGGTTCTCCATGGTATACAGATGCCAGCTTGATTACAGGATTCAGCATAAGCAGCCACAGCAGTGCACAAACACTCGCAGTCTCCACCCGTGTCACAGGCACATGAGTCAAACACACATGCATCAAAAAATGGAGCAGGATCCACCTAGAGCGAAGAGTATGATGATACACTAGTAAGTTAAACAGGGTTACTTCACTACATTTATCTCAAACATTGTGTCCACATAACAACAACCTACAGTGGAGTGGCAGGCAGAGAAGACGTCGCTCTGTATAATGCTGCACTGTTTCTGGGCCCAGGCCTGTCTGTATGGGTTGGCTATACAGGGGCTGGTGATGCTCGGAGCGTCGGGGCAGCTTGGCAAATCCTTCCAGCTGTTTCCGAACACCAGTGGGCTGACAACCACATTATTGCCTCTTGTGGTGAAGTCATTATTTGAATTGCCGTCATTGTTGCCACACAGTCCACATACACGACCCTGGAAAAGTAGAGCTCCTTATGTCATGTTGGTCAATTTAAATATCAAAGCTTGCCTTTTGCTGTTTGAACAAATCAATTGTATTCACATTAAAAGCCCAAACTTCCTTGACATACCTTATATTTTGGGCTGAGCTTAATGAACAAGGTGGTTTTCCTGTCCCACATGAAGATGAGTCCATTGTTGGCTTCAATCACCAGGTAAATGCCCATAGTGCTGTATTGGAATGGAACTGTTTCTTCATTTCCACTAGAGAGCAGCTGGTAGCTTCCCTCTGCTAGAATCAGTTCTGCACTCTGAAAAAGGACAGAAATTGATAGCATACTGCAAAGTTCAAATCTCAACATCTCAGAAAACTTCTCAGCGAATGTCACTGGAGCCAGTGTCCACATTATATGCAGCGAGGAGAAGCTCCTCTTTTTCTGTTGCATTCCATGAACACGATGCACCTCACAAATCAAGTAGTTTGAGTCTGCATCTTCACATCTTTGTCTTTTTGTGTGAAAACACCAAGATGGTCCTTTTGAAGGACAGCCAAAGCGTCTTCAACAAAGCAAGTCACACTAGACACGTCAAATCAGACTACCTATGTGAATTCATCTTGAATTTCAGCTTTGTGTCAGCAGTTAATTTTGTGTCATGACATTGCAGGTGGTCTTTTGAAAAGTTTTATGTTGACTGTTTACCCCAAGGAAGATCTTGATGTTCTTAGAGCAGGTGGTTCCTGTTGTTCCACACGGAACATTCTCAGTGAGCACTCTGAAGGTTCCATTACTCTGAGCACTGCCACAGTAGTCCTGAGGAACACATGCACACACACACACACACATACAAATCATCAATATTAGTGGCTCTGCTTGACTATTAACCCATTGGTTCTCATCTTTCTTATAGGTCAGAGATATGGAATGTAGCCATCGTGAAAGATGCAATTACTGAAGCAAGGCTGGACTCAAAATACTCTAAATAAGTTATTTTCCCCAAACGAAAGATAGAAAAGAGGAGGAAAGAGTAAATCATGTGTGCCGAGTCAGCAGAGATACCTTATAAGAGAAGTTGATTTACAGGAGAATAAATATTTAAAAGAGACACAGAACGCATTATATTCTATGACATTTTTATATTTGGAATTGTCTCTTGGTGTTTGAATGTTGTGTTTGCCTTCACACATATAAATACTTTTCTACCATAAATTGGTGCCGAAAAGTTACCAGAATGCAGGAAATGAAGTGTCCCATCCCCCTTAACCCAATGCTTGAATGAAACCTACGCTTTTCTCCTGGACCATGGAGGTCACCATATATAATTGAATTCTAATGTATTACATGATTCACTTCATATTACACGACTCTGTTACAAGCCAAATAACTACTGTATACCAGCATTGAGCAGGACTATGCATGTGAAGAAAATGATGGAGAAAGTTTCTCACGGAGGACTCTGTTCAACAACTATTGTGTGTTCATACCTGAGTCAGAATGTATTCGCAACTGCCATCAAAGGTGAAGCGCTTCTGATCAAAAGTCATGTAGTGTCCAGCGCCATAGACCGAGCAGGTTCCATCACACTGGTTGGTGGTGCACTGCCAATTCATGTCTTTACAAGTGCTGTAAACAGATACACGTTAGATTGCATCAGGCTTATAATAAAAGACGTGCCTTGGGACGATCACCACCCACGGCCAACCACCTAGCCAGACCTGCTGGACCAAACACCACCAAACTGCTGCAGGGAGGAGAGTGAGGAGAGTCGAGATGGAAGCAAAGCTAACCCAGCTAAGACCTGAGACTACTCCACTACCAGCCTACTGCTGGCTGTCAGATGTTCGTTCGCAGGAAATAAGATGGATGAAATAAGACCTCAGGAGAACCCAGCAACGGGAGGTCGGTGACTATTGAGCTCACATCTTTACAGAGACCTGGCTCCATCCAGATTCAAGCAGCACTTGATGGGCAAACCACAGGACAGAGAGCAGGACTCCGGTGGACCAGAGGAGGACTCCGTGTTCACATCATGATGCTTGGTGCTCAAACACAGTCACAGTTGATGGAAAATGTTTTCCTCAGTTGAGATTTTAATGTAAAGATGTCGACCATGTTATCTGACCAGAGAATTGTTTTTGTTGTTGCTGTTTACATTCATTATGATGCAAATTCAAAAAAAATGCACTACAGGAAAGTACTCCTGTTTTTGTGTGGTTTGTTTGTTTGTTTGTATGTTTTTCTTGTGTTACAAATGGGCTACAACTGCATTTTGTCATGCATCCCTGTGTTGCATAATGACAATACATGATCCTTGAATTCTTGAATCCTTGAACTTGTACATTTCAGTCACAGATGGAGGTGCAACAAAATACTGATGTACCTGCTGCATATTTCTACCTTAACAGCATTTCACTCTACTTGTGATTCACTTACCAGGTGTTGCAGTCCACCTTGGTGGTTTGTCCAGGCTGGTAAGAGACATCGTTGTGAAGACAGGGACAAGCCTCTGGCTTGATGCAGCCTCCTTTATCATCAGACACCATCCCAGATGGACACATACAGCCGGACATGCACGCTGTAGTCACCTGAAGAATAGATCAAATTTACAATCCACTGTATGGGCGAAATACAGACAGTGCAGGTTCCACGGGGCCCATGGGATGGGGGGCCATGGGATGGGAGGGCCCATGAAGGGAACAGGCCCTTACAAGTGATTCAGATTGCCAAATAGACAACTGTGTTCAAAGAAAAACCTACATTCATTTGAAAGTGGTGCCATTTGCATTACATCTCCTCAAAAAGGTGACCCATCTGTTTTCTTTTTTTGAAATCGTCAGTAGCAATCTCTAACAACATTATATATATATTCTACATAAACCATACATTTTAAAAAAACTATTAAAAACTATTCAGCTGAAGAAACAGCTTCTTATTTTCTTTGGTATTTGGTCATATAAAGGTATGCGATCATGATTTCTGGGTAATATGTATGTATGTTGTCTCTATTTCATCATGACGAGACAATACAAAGGTGTGTGTGATTACTAGCATGCACTGGAGCCCGTCGTATGCCTTACGCCACTGATCCACCACCATAGTTTCATCCATGCACCAGCAGAGAAAATATTTTACTGTACCCCGAAGAAACATGTCATCTAGATATAAAGTATTAATCTGTATTTGCAGACTCACACAGGCCATGTCTAACGTGTTGCAGCTCTTCTCACACTCCGTTCCTTTAGCAGCCGGACCGTTCGCAGAGCAGTTGAAGAACACCATGGGAGGAGCACAGGCCACTGAGAACAAACATATTGGAAATCATTTATGAAATGAAATGAATCGCGGTCAATAACTTAGCCATTAACCACTCCTGATTTAATATGACATCCAAGATAATGCATTTTATACCTTGATGAAAAACAACAGTAGTACACATTACATCCTGAATCTGTATATAGCCTTATTTTTTCCTAACTCTAGCCAGGTAGTTTTGTTGCCTAAACCTAACCAAACTCCAGATAAAAACTAAAAATATGAATAATAAAACAACAGAAAACAATAAGTTAACTATGTGTAATAAACCAGGCTCAACTTCTGGTCTCCTGGGAGGTAATCCTGAGTCTGACCCGTTCATCCACCAGAAGCAACTCCAAACACTTACTTTGTTATCCCAATGGCAGTAGCAAACACCTAAAGGCAGAAGGCATGTAAAACAAAACCTTGAGCCCATTGGATGTGCTTGAATGCTAGTAAAGAATTCTAATGCTCATGATTTGAATTAATTTTGAATGATGTCTCTAAGCTACATATTGTAGTAATATACCGTATGTAATTATAAAGTTTGTGCTGCAAATGTTATATTTATAGTTTGAATTTCCTTTGACCTTCGTATTATTTATTAGTTAAATTGTATTTTCATTCATCTTTTCTGTGTGAGACAAGTAACAGCTGCTAAAGCGCACGTGCTTCTTGTTTGTTTGACCTCTGCACAAACAGAAATGTGATCATGTACGGTTACAGAGTTACATGTTGGAACTATTTATTGACAAACAGCTGGTGACTGTGTGCAGCTTCCCACAATCTGTTTTCTGAACAGCACAGCTTTAGAGGTGTTGGTAGGTGCATTTTAACAGAGCCAAGCTAGCTTTCCCGCCAATTCCAGTCTTCAACCCCTTCCTGACTTCAACTCTGTACTTAACACACATACATGAGATACTGTAGGTATCCATCTAAACATCATTTAAAACTCTGTTTTGGAATATAAAATGAGTTAAAATGATGCAGCCAATGAGGGCAGCCAACAACTGCTCAAGGTTTGAATCTGTCACAGCTGGACAGCTCAAATCTAACTTTACAGCCGTTTGAGTTCATATACTATGATCAGGAAGTAATGTAGCGCTCGCTACTCATCAGCTATAATGTTACTTACATGGTTGTCTGAAAAACTCCCCAATGCAGCCCAGTCTGCCCTCCTTACAGGTGCTAGTGGAGAAATATAAACAAAGAAACACATTAATATACATACGTATATAACCTTACAGCACACTGTTTACATTTGTCACATTTGTCATATTTTTGGTATATCACAAATAATTGAAAGAACAAATATTGACTTGTTCTTCTAAGCTCACTAATCCAACTGTAAACAAAAGGAGAGTTTAGAAGCAGATAAAAGGTGAAAAGTGCACTCATTTGAACCTATGGACTTCCATACACATCACTGCAATAACTAATAAAAACTTGTGCAATATATCATGTACATACCACATGACCCCGTCCTTGTTGACGACCTGTCCGGCAGGCACCACGGAGCCTTCGTCATAACAGGGACATTCCTGAGATGGGACACACTTCCCAGTGTCATCCAGGAAGGTTCCCTCTGCACAGACACAGCCATCGATGGGCGGGAAGGAGAAGTGACAGCTGAGGTCTGTGCTGCTGATGCAGCGGCAGGTGCGGCTGCTGGACGTGATGTTGTAGGAGTAGACCGTGCTGCTGCGGCAGGAGCTGGCGTATTTCCCTGAGAAGGTCAGACCACAGAATCAGTGAACAACTGTGAGACCGTGCCCACTGCAACTATCACACATAAGACCCAGTGAATGACAAATACAGAGCACCAAATAATTAAGTAGTTATACATAACTTGTAGTAATTTGGGTTAAAATAAGTTAATCCTCACGTGTGATCCTTTGGTATCGCAGAGTGTGTATAGAATAGAGCAAACAGTGAGTGTGTATGTCAGAACACTCAGATGGGATGTTGTGCTCGAAGCAGACTACTCAACACAGTATCGACCTTTCAAAGCACAAGTACTGCAGCAAGATGTTTCCATGACTGGCTTCACAAGATCAAAGGTCACGTGACCATCCCAAACAAGGCCTTGTTACGTCCCATTGGTGTCAGACAAAAGTATCCATAATGAAAGCAGTAAGACCACTTGTATTCTGACTGTTGCAACGTCGTCTCACATTTGAATCCAAAGGTTGGGTTTGATTCTTCTGTTTCCCAATTACTCTCCACTCACCACAGATGCTCTTCCTCCAGCCGCTCATCTGGATTCCTGCTGCTGCACAGGCATGGACATAGGAGGAGACCGCAGCACACATGCAGTCCTCACTGTTCTCACAGTTACAGCTGTCATACATGCAGTTCTGTGATGAGACAAAATAAAAAATGTTGAAAGAATGCCTCACGGTCTGGACACTGGTCCACAGAAATATGTGAAAGCCGTAGCTGTGAGCCTTACCTCTCTGTACGAGTCAGGGATGATCTCTGAGTGACAGGAGGCAAACACTCCTTCAGGGTCACTCAGCATGGAGCACCAGTGCTGGGCGTATTTCTCTGTCATTGACAAACAAAGGCCAACATCAGTAATTCGGAAGAACCCACAGTGACAACAGAGAATCTAAATGAGTGCGACCTACCATTCTCCAGACTAAGACTGCAGGGGTTCTCAAAGTTGCTCTTAACATCGGGGCAACCAGCATGTGTCTTCCAGCTGTTGACAAAACCGGTTGCTGTGGCATCTGCAACTCCACTGAGCTTGAGGAAGTCATCAGCTTGGTTACTGTTGAAGTTCCCACAAAGACCTGCAGGCAGACAGCATCACAGTAATGACAACATATACTGTAAGTGGTTGTGAGGTACTCGTTCACAGAACAGAGGAATCACTCCTCATCTTTACAAGATGAAAGTCACGACGGCTTCAGCAGCTCTCTGTCTATCTATTCATGAAGTCATCCACATTGTGCCGCTATAGCAACTATTGTCTAAATTGTAACCGCTTGGGCAGCTCACAAAAATGATTTATTCATTTAATCAAATCATGAGGTCCATCAATGAAATATTTCCAAACTATAAAACTAAAAACTGCATAATGCTTTATAATGTCTTTATAACTTATTGTTGGCTTTCAGTAATCTATGAAAGACCATCACAAGAACGCAGTCAAATGATTTCCTTTTTTTTCTTAAAGCAAACAATGACTTATAATAACAATATAATGCTTTGTAACAGTGATTGTGATGCATTACAGCTATGGAAATTATGATACACTATGATGCTTGCAAAATAAGTCAGTGAGTGACAAGCTGAAGTATGAAGATACTTTAACTTACTAGTCATGAATCTAAATGCTTTAGAATGTGTTAAGATTGTTGTTAAAAAGCATTATGAATATTTATGAGTATGTTTGTAATGCCTTATAGACATGCGTAAAATAGAACCAAAATACTGACTAGACAACCAGTACATTGTTGGATATTCACATATTCACTATTTGCAACAACCAATAGGGATGAATAACACCATCCCTATTGAGTTCTGAGGGATGCTTCCAGTCGGAGAGCACACAGGACATTTTAGTTCACATACCACAGGTCTTGGCTTGGTAGTCACTGGTCACTGAGACGTGGAGCTGCATGACTGGCTGGAGCTGCACCTCCAACAGAACTCCAACAGCCGTCTGAACCAGCAGGTAGAAGGAGGACGCTTTGAAGGCAGAGATTCCAGCTGGGGGGTAAGAGAAAGGATGAGGATGGGAGTTTGTTAAAAGAGTGGAAGGGAAGTGACAGAATGAACTATCTGTCTGCCCATCAGGCTAGTCAGAAAAACAGCTCACAGGTAAAGCATATTCAGACTGAAATCTATCATTTTCTTTATCATTTTCATTTTTTTAAATGAACTAACTAGGTAAACTAAACAGTAGTGCAAAGATCAACCAACAGCATGAACAAATGAAATGACGCTGGCTCTGCAGTAAAGATGGTCCAGCTGGTGGGCATGCTCCTGAGATGTGATGGTGAGAGAACGACCTCACATGGACACAAGATAACGCCAGCCACTCCTTTTCATCAGCCAGCAATGCAATTCATCACATAAGACACACGCTGGCACTAACACACTCTCTCCAGTGGGTGTTGCTAGTGCAGCAACCAGGACATTGGTCCTCATTAATTTCCCACCCACAGCCACAGGGAAATGTTCATTGGAGTTGACGATCAAGGCTGAACCACAAAGCTCTGCACATGGTTCCTGCCCATGCACAGCCCCTTACCCTTTGCTATGTTCTCAACAGATTTAACTTCAGCGTCAACCAGGACATCTGTGTGTGACCGGGCCGGCAAGCCAGCCGGATTTCTATAATAAGGCGAGGACAGTGACTCCAACCACAATGTGTTGTGTTTTATAGTGTTTCACTTCACTGAATGAAAACAACTATGGAATATAGAAACCAGCTTAAGTTCTATATTATATAAACATGAGGACAGATTTAAAGCCGTATTTAAATATTTGTATGAAGTTAGAAAACAGATACCATAGTTTGGGCCTTACAGTGAACAATTTAGGACCTGAGAAGCCTGACAGGAACTGAAATGAAGTGTGTATCTACTCCTCACTTATTCAGCTCAACTGAAAAATATACTGTATATGTGATCATTTGGGCTAACTATATGTTTCTACATGTCAGACAGAGAGAGAAGACAGACAGGTGAGGACTGTACAGTGGAGTGTCTCTCACCAGCAGAGAACGGTAGCTGAGCGTAGATGCCATTCACAAACACCTTGCCATTGGGCTGGATGGTGATCACCTTTATATGACAGGAGACCAGATGTTAGTATTCACATCTTTACACTTCAATGAGCTAAGCAGCTCTCTCAATCGAAAACAGTTACATTGAAAGTATTTTGTATATTATTCTTCATCGTATCTTTTTCACATTTGATTATTTTTTGTAATATTATACGTTTGATTAAAACATAAAAGTAGGAATTATAATCACTATAATAGACTCAATCTAGCTCCAAGTTTACAAGGTTATTTTAACTGCGTACTGAAATGTAAGAAAAACATAATTCAGTAATATACAACTTAATTGTATGAAGATGAAAGATGAAGATATTTTGCTCATTTCCTTCCTAATGTAATACAAATAATGTTGAATAGCTTTAGAAAAAAACCTTCCTTTTGTAATATTGTTGTTCTGGATCATGAAACATATGAACACACTTGTATGTGAGTGTCTGTGTGTGCATCATACTCACATGAGCGCCTCCGGACAGACCCAAGGTAACAGACTTCAGGCAGGTTTCACTCTCAGTCAGCCCACACTGCACCAGTTGTCCCTGAACCACAAACTGGTTTCCACTGCAGTCCTAAACATACAAACACAAAACTATCCAACGACTGCCCAACTGAAACCACATAGCTGCAGTTAGCAGCTGATAGGTATAGAATACCGGTAGAAGGAGTGTGTGTTGTGTAGGACCGTTAAATACACTAACTGTGTGGCTGGATTTTCAACACACACTACTTTGTATAATAACATATGTTTAGTTGATTTTGTTGTTAATGTTAGACGTGTAAATCAATTTGGAAGCCGTACCCGTTTCCAAACCTTGTTGGTACTGTAGGTATGGTTACACACTTTGGTTACTTTACGTTTCCCCTTTTTAATATCTAAAGGAACTGATTCAATATATGGGATGATAAATCACAACCTTGTATTAGTAATAGCTTTGACTGGTTTGAGGTTGAGGTCTTGTCTAGGCCTGTGACGCAGTGTTGTGCCATGTTTGTCTATTACCATGGCAGGTGTGTGTGTGTGTGTGTGTGTGTGTGTGTGTGTGTGTGTGTGTGTGGTATTACAGCACTGATGATGATGTGATCTACCTTAGCCAGGACGTAGGAGCAGTCCCCATGGAAGGTGTAGTCTTTTCCATCGAAGGTGTTGATGTGAGCCCCGCCCTCCACAGAGCACATTCCTGGACAGTTTTCCTCCGCACACTTCCACTGTCCACTCTCACACACACTGTCAGCACACACAAGTTCATCTTCATTTAAAAGTCCATAACAAACTAGGCAGAAGATATTGTGGGCGCTACTGTATCTCTGCACTGGACACACATTGATATCACAGCAGTTTATTTATTAAACTGCTAAAATCTAAAAAAAATTCAGTGATGATCTTCCAAATTTTTGGTCCAATTGTTTTGTTCATTTGTATGCAGATGACACTGTTGTATATAAATCTGATTACGATATACCTCAAATTCAAAGCACTGTGCAATCAGGCATTTTTTTTGTATAAAAAGGTTTTTCCAATAAAAATCTCATATTAAAGATGCTGTTTGGTACTAGATATCATTTCAAGTATCGATATGTTAGCTATTCTTGTTACTGATGAGGACTTTGGATTCATTCTGCACTTTTAGGCCTCATTGACTTTATTAAAGATAAAGTAAATCTTAATCAAATAATTGTTTTACTTTCACTTTTACTTCCCATTATTGATCAGTTATCAAAATACATCCAAAAAAGGTCTAATCATTTAAATGCAGATTTCAGTAATATCTGTAGATTTGTCAAGATATATCCTGTACACCTAAAACCGTTTTTAGTGGGTTTAAATCATCATATACTCACTTAAATTAGATGAATAATACATTTTCCCAATTTTAAGCATGTGTTAATTGTTCATTTATCTCTTGTCATATGCAAAATATGTCAGAAAATCTGTTTCAGAGCAGTTTTACATTCAATCCCTGTCTTTTCCATAAAACGATTTAAAATGTTTGATGACTCATTCTGCATTCAGGGGCGTTTAAAAAAATATCATAAGACTCTGGGCGACTGGCTAGCCACACTGGTCATATAAAAGTGCAAACGGAGCAATATGGAGAGAGATAGGAAGAGATGAGTGTTTAAATATGTAAGCATAAGCTTTGTTTGTATTTTCAAAACAATGCAGCTAAGGTTTAATTCAATAAATGTAGTGACACCGAGCCGGTGGAAAATAGGTAATATTTCCATTTCATCTCTACCTCATCCTCCTCCTGATCTAACAAGAGTTAAGGGAGGTGTGTGTGTGTGTGTGTGTGTGTGTGTGTTGAGTCAACAGTAACACTAAACCTAACCCAACAGTCGTACCATGCATAAACTCTAAACCCGCCCACTTTTTAGCAGTCCAATAGAATGTGAAGGATTTGCTTTCAATCCCTCTAGTAACTGTACACTGCTCAAATATTCCGTTTCACGGGGAATACATCACAGTACAGAAGCTACAGAGGATCTTACTACCGTTTCACTGCGACTTCAAAATAATTGGGGGAAGTGCTTTTAAGTTAAAAGCACATTAGACTTAGTTTTGTGTGCATCGTTTGACTCAGTACTTTGACACAATGTTATTTTGTGTGGCAGTGTTTTACGTTTGTGCAGATGACACTTTGGGATTATGGGAAAACCCATATGCGTGTGTTCTTGTTGGTGTTACTATGTTGTTGTTTTTGTGTTGTTTACTATTATCTAATGTATTTATTTCTGTTGAAATATCTGAAAACAAGATGGTGCATCTTGGGGCTTATCCTCAAATTAAATAAAACATAGTGAATGGGATTTTTCTGGAAAACTAACACAATTGTAATGTTCCTGCAGAAATGCAGACATACTGACACACTCTGTATCTTACCATTGTTTGCAGTTACTGGAGTAGGACTCCCCAGGTCCATAGGTCTTGCTGTTGTAGCTGCAGGAGCACTCGTTCATTGGGACACAACCCTTTCCATTTAAATCATCCAGAACCATGCCTGAAAGTAATCAAAGAATCACTGTCCTGTAACACAGTCTTTGTGTGTGTGTGTGTGTGTGTGTGTGTGGTGTGTGTGTGTGTGTGTGTGTGTGGTGTGTGTGTGTGTGTGTGTCACTCTGCTGTACCTGCGGGGCAGAAGCATCCATCGATACAGTGGTTGTCACAGGTGTGGCTGGCCTCTGGGTTGGAGCAGGTATCAGCACAGGGACTCCCACACTCATTGTACTCCATTTTGTAGGGACATGACTTCCCTGTGAATACATCAGATGTTTTTCCCCACTTGACTTACGTAACCTCTCTGACTCTCATTCTGAGCATATAATCACACAAACGTCACTATTGTAGCCTGGTTCCAGCCCCTCAATGGCCTGTCCCCACTCTCTAAGCTCAGCTTTGAGAAGGGGTAGGGTTGTAACATTCAATAGATAGTCTCTACATCTAACACACCCATGAGTTTGCTCCTAATTTTGCAAGTTAGGAGATAATTTCCATCATTGTCGGTGTAGCCCTGGTCTTGCTTGTTCTTGTTTGGAGAAACCTTGGTGCTGGTGTGGAAGGGCCTGAAGTCTCATCAGCAGTTTAATCACAGCTCTACTCAAGGTTCATGACCTCTTTAATCAACTATACCAAGTGATACAACCCATAAACTCCTGATTTTTCTTAAAAAAGATATTAGAAAACTGCTGCAACCTATACACTGTATTTTGTATCTGCTTGTTTAAAAACGTGACTGTATCCAAATATAATATCCAAACCAAGAGTGCAACATTCTGACTGTCTCCTCCAAATACTGACCAGCATTCTTGATATGCTTACTACAAACTTCAGCATTGACGGGAAATGATGTCAGAGTGAACTTTTCAGAAGTTTTTTCTTTCTAATTTCCTAATGTGATTTTTAGTCTTTGCGTGTTTTAAGTCAATGAACACAGACACCTGAGACACTTTTTGGACAAGCCCTCCTACCAATGAGATATTCAATAATTAGTGTCTAATGAGTCTACTCACAGCAGAGCTCCTTGGTTCTCCAGTTGAGAGGTTTTCCACCAGCATGGCTACACTGTCTGGAGAACTCGGACACAGTGTTGCACAGGCAGATGGGGTCTGCGTGTCCATCTATGCCATTGCCGCAGTGGCAGAGGTCCGCAACACAGGCAGAAGTGAAGGAGGCAACGTCCAGCAGACTGTGACAGCTGCTGAAGGCCGGCCCTGTGAGGATCTGCTCACACAGAGGTTTCTACAGGACAGACAGACAGGAATGGAGCCGAAGGCGAAGACATGAAGATAGCATGTTATTAGGCAGGCAAGAATCTGAAACATATCGGCATCAATTCTGTCAAAATCGTTACAAAGGCCACACATATTGTTCAATGTCAACTTGTGGAATTACTGAAAATGAATGTATGACCAGGCGGCAGTTGGTGATTATTTACCCTTTCTGCTGACACACTAGAAATATTGTTGTCTATTTTTGTGCACTGAGGTTTGAGTCCAACTATAGGACGGTTGCATGACCACTTTTAGACCTCTTGTAGTGCTATGGACATTTTTTTCGTTGATTGGTTCATCAGTTAACGCACCAAGCTGCAAGCTATTAAAAATGTATTTAAACAATACTGGATTTAAAATCAGCTTTGCAAATATTTTATAAGGAGTGAGAGATATGTTTGACCTCAAGGGTATAATGGGTTTTGGTGAGTAACACTGAAAGTAAACATAACGTTGCAGGGCCTCTTGAAGCTTTCTGACTCTGCATGATATTATGTGGCCGCCAAGTAAAACCCACTTCTCCTATTTGCACTGGTTGTGCAAATAGGAGAAGTGGGTTTTACTGTACAGGACACATGACAGTATTCAGACTCAAGGTAAGCTTGTCAAAACAAACATTATGTGTGAAATATATGTGTCAGCCTTGTTACTGTTACTTTACTACCAAATATAGAGGAAGAGCCATTGGTAGCACACAGTTGCTGAAACCAGTAGCATTCAGTCTGCACTGACACCGCAAGACATAGTTATCTGAAAATAAGGGCCAACCTCTAAGAAATCAGGGACTGGCCATGGTTTAATAAGTATTGTGTAGATAGAACATTCCATTATAACTGAGTGAAGCCTCACCATGTCCTTGCAGCTTTGAGTTGATTCCAGTGTGTAGTCAGAGCAGATTTCAGTTGGACCATCCATTTTCCAGAAGTTAGCAAAATCCACTGGGGATATTTTCACACCTGTTTGGATAATATTTAAAAAAACATCTTAGTTTTGTGGCCATGTCTACACTGACTGACTTGTTAAAGTGGGTCAAAGTGTACCATGGCTGTAGAATTCATTGTAGAGCTGAACTCCATTAAAGTCTCCACAAAGACCACATGTTTGGTTCTTGTACTTCAGGTCCAGTTCAACCTGTGAGGACAAAAAGCATCGCCTTAAGCAGGAGCTAGAATCTGCAGCACAGTTGTTTTTTTATTATACTTTGTTCATCCTGCCAGGGGAAATTGGTTCTCTGCATTTGACCCATCCCTATACATCCCTATGCAGTGGGCTGCTCCTGAAAAGCACCCGGGGAGCGGTTAGGGGTTCAGTATCTTGCCCAGGGACACTTCGGCATAGGACTCATAGCAGCCGAGGATCGATCCTCTCTACCCAATGAGCCACAGCCGCCCCCAAAGCAGCTTTAGTAGCATTCTCCAAGTCTGTCTGTTTAATTAACTCTGTTTTCAATCAACAGGCTAATGTAACACTTGCCACTTGTTAGATTACAAAGCATGACATTGTCGATAGTCATTTGTTCAATGTGCAGCCTTACTCTGTAATATCTTCATTTGAAGCTTTGACAGTACTTTTAAACAATAACGGTCATAACACAGCCACAATCCTACCAGAAAAGAGTCGTCCTCATTCCAGATAGCAACTAATCCCAGCTTTGCTTTGATTTTGATGTAGGTGGGAGTTTTCTCGATGAGCACTCCTCCTTGACTGAATGGTAGGATGGCTCTGCAAAAGGAAAAATCACATTATTTTGGCCATTAGAGTCAAAGGTAGATTGTCAATGGTGCCAACATATGGGAAGGCAAGCAAAGGGTGTCAGTAGATGAACGTCTGTGTGGCTGATGTTTTTATGTTCTCACTGTGGAGTTCTAATGACTATTGCTAGAGCAAAGATGGATTCTCAAGTTCAGCTTTAATAAAGCATCATAAACAAAGCATAAAACATTAGATATGTAAGGTAACATACTAAAGTTGACATGGTAACTACACTGCAATCCAAACCATTCATTTTGGTGTTTTTATGAGATATTAATAGGAAAGGGCAGAGTTTTAAGAGTAAACTTACGATTTGCCATCAACGATCACAGAGCCCTCAGAAAGCTCCACCACGGAACCCTCCAGCTTCATAATGATGCTTTTGATGGTGTGATGGGCGCCAGCCTCCTGTCTTCTTATCTGGATGTTGAAGTCCTTGTAACTGCTCCGGCATGAAGAGGCCAGGACATAGTTGCAAGTGGAGTGCAACTGGAAAACATCTCCATCAAAGGTCTTGAAGTGGAAGTTGCCCCACGTACTGCAAACCTGGCCGTTGTGGATGGGACTCACGCCTACAAAGACAGGACAAGGCACCACAACAGTGGCCGTACTTTACACAGGCCTTCACCTACATGAATGAATTCTCACACATTGCCTACATAAGGACACATTTTACAGTTACTAACCAACAAGCTCACCTGTAATTTTTCCAGGAATGGATATGGAGGAGAACACGTTCACAGCAGACTTTGCCTCTGTTGAAAGAAGTAAGTTATTTGTCAAGTTATTTGTCAAGTAATCAATAATCAAATCTTAAACTATATTAAAACAAAATAAGGCTGTAACACATGGATAAACATTTGAACTGTTAATAGTCCCATTTGTCATATTTGCTAGGCTGCCGAATGGAATGTGGTAAATGTACCGCTGAGCCAGGCAGCTCCAACGGCAGACAGGGCCAGCCACAGCAGCCACTCATTAGCCATAGCCATCTTCTTCTCCACAGGATCTCTGAGAAAGATGGAAGGGAGGCCGAGCTCTTTATAGCAGGGGGCAAGGTCTTAATTTGGCAGGTGAGGGAGTGGCAATTCCATAGCTTGACATGGTGATTCATGACTTCCGGTTTTGCTTGTCCCATTTATTTCCATTGTCCTTGGTTCACTCCGCTTCAAACAACTGATATATATGAAGGGCGTGGTTACAGAGCATGCAAACAGATGTCCACCCCACATCTGTGATGGAAACAAACTAGCACCTAAATGCCACGGCCTATACTGATGTGGAATCCATGTCCACAATGACGACCATTCTACCGTGGTGTTTTTACTTGATCCACGTGATGTGTTCTTTTGATCATACAGTTTAATAACTTTCTGTATCCATATTCAAGTTCAAAACCACCTTTAAACAAAGATTACCAGTTACTACCAGAGCTGACTGTGGCTCAGGGGTTAGAGCAGGTCGTCCTTAAATCACAAGGTTGGCGGTTCTATGCCTGACAGTTGATCCACGGATGTCTCATAGCATCCCACTGATTCTGAATGCAGAATTTCATGTACGTGACTGTATGTATGTGATTGAAATAAAAACAATTCCAGATTCTTTTTATCTGCTCCCATAAATGACTGCTTGTTATCGCTAGTTTTATACTTAGGTCGAATGATGACAACTGAACCAGTTCCATTCACTGAATCACTAATCACTGAATCCATAATAGAGACCATACCAGCTGTGATGCTGAATCGCAAAGTGTAAAGTGGGGGGTGCCAATGTCCCCTTCACCACTTCCTACGCCCCTTCCTATGGCGCTCTTGCTCGGATCCAGCCATCTTCGACCTTCATTTTTTTATCTCAACTACACACCATTAAAGAAAAGCAGCATTAAGACACACCACTAGAAGGAAGTGCTGTTTTGTCATTTGGTTGAACTTAAACATCAACAGTGATTTCAGAGGAACCTTAAGAATTGGGGATAACCATTGCTTAAAACCGCAACTCAAACCCAAACACGTGTCCTGTATTTGAGAAGATGACTTCAGTATGTTTCTACCTGTGCCAATGACCAGTGAGAAGGAAACCAAAAGTTCTTTCTTTTCAGGCTTAGAGCTTAAGGATACAGCTTTGGCATTATTCAAGGTCCAAATAGGAAACCTGAAAATCTGATTTAGACCTGTGGGAATAATAGACCACCATTATGACCAATTACGGAACACATAACACGCTTTAGATAATTAAAGACTCTACTAAATACACCTCTGAGTGTTTTCATTGGCTTTGCTTTATCATATTTTGACTCAAACGATAAAAGATTAAACCCATTCAAGGTGTGTTCTGATGTCTGGGTGATTAACAGTTTTTATCTTTTGTTTTCTTATCACCAGCAGTCATCTTTAACAATAGAAAGACTCAACAGTGACGCAACAAGAATGGAAAGCAGAGATTACTTAAATGCATTACAGATCCATTAGTCTTGTGTTACCATCCACCCAAATGAGATTATGAAGCTGCTTGAAGAGGGTCTGCTGTGCACTGCACAGCAGCATGGGTGTAGCCCTGACATTTACAAAGCAACACAAATCAGCAATTGTTTTCAGTCATGCTATTTGAATCCTGTTGTTTCATAAGAGTTTCTGTAAAACAAAAACATTAGCTCCTAAAATTAGATTAGATCAGATCAGATTCAAGTGTATTGTTATAGCACAGCAGGTACTAATACAGCAATATATATATATATATATATATATTAGTGCTGGGCAACGATGTTATGCGCAAAGTTCAATAATGAATTAAAAAGTAGTGTATTGCGCAGTTTTATTTTAAAAGTACTGCTATATGAACAAAAGTGCAATAACATTTAGTTTGCAAACACTTTAAACACATCAGGTTCTTGTTAGCAGCAGTATTCCCTTTACACAGTAGCAGTTATAACACAGTTATAATGATTCTGATAACAGATATTCAGCCGGTGTTCACAACTTCATTTTATCACATTAACTTGCCCAGCACTAATATATATAAATACATTTAAAAACATTATATATATATTGCTATATCATATATAAATGATGAGGATGCTCTTAATGGTGCAGCTAGAAGTTCACTACAATCTGTGTAGACAGAGGGACTTTCTTCAGTCTCCTCAAGAAGAAGAGATGCTGTTGAGCCTTCTTGACGAGGGTCAATGTGCTGAAGGTCCAAAGATAGTCCTTGGAGATGTGGACACCCAGACACTTAAAGCTGGCGACACACTCAACCTATGTACCGTTGATACAGATGGGAGTGCGTTTACCACCTTTGGGCTTCCTGAAGTCTACAATGAGCTCCTTGGTCTTCTTGGTGTTGAGAGTAAGGTTGTTGTCAGTACAACACGCTGCCAGGTGCTGGACCTCGGCGCTGTATGCTGGCTTATCATTGTTGTTGACGAGGCCAGCACGAGTTGTGTCTTCTGTGAACTTGATAAATATATTAGAACCATGTATGTGCATGTCATTGTAGTTGAAGCGGAAGTATAGAAGAGGACTCAGCCCCGTGGGACACAGGTGTGCTGGGTTGAGGAGGTGTTTGTCTAACCTAACAGACTGGGGATCTGTTGGTTAGGAAGTCCACTATCCAGTGCAGAGTGGTGTTGATGCCCAGGTCACAGAGTTGAGTGATCAGTTTGGAGGGGATGATGAACAGCATTGTCAGATCGAAGTTGTTGTTGTCCAGGTGGGTGAGAGCTGAGTGTAGGTTGTGAAGATGTTGTCCTACGTACACCTATTCTGGCGGTAGGCGGGGGTGGATGTGCTTGGCTTTCTTGATGCCTTTCTTCAGGATAGGCCTGGATGAACTGTAGGCCAAAGATTCAACTGATCTGATAGTAGTGTTGCATGCCTTTAGCAGTAGGTGAATCTCTCTGTATCTCCATAGCTTCTGATTTGGTAATGTTGTTAACCGTTTTAGGTTGGTAACACTGTTGATGTTAGTGTTGTTATAGTCTAGAATGGAGGAGGAATTCAAATCAATGTCCATGGGTGGTCTGGGTGGCAAACTTACTCCAGTCTGTTTGTTCTGAATTGATAATGTAAGTTTATTCACCCAGGCCCTATGTTCATTTTAGTTGTTTGTTTATTGAATTAAATCCAAAGAGGCAGAAACGAGAAACGGCAGCTTGGAAGACGGACCTTCAGTTAGCGACTGTAGCAACTGGATTTCAGTCAGCGCAAACCCAAGCGTCAGGGAAGGAGAGGTCTTCTTTTTCTGCCATTTTGGTTTCAATCCAATAAACATATGGAAACATACATGGACAATCCCAACTCTTGGGCCTGATCTGGCTGGTAAATACACTAGCTTGCTCTTTGCAAAATGCATTATTCCAATCATTGATCGTATTTAGAACAACATTATTATCTGTAGTGTTCCTTTATTTTATTCGGACCATTGGCTCCATGATAATAACTAGCTTGCCATTTGTAAAATACTTCATCAGCTAACGTTACAAAGTAACAAACATCAGATCCATGCAGTGAAACTAAGTTACAGCTAGCGTATTTTGCGTATTTTGTTCGCTGATGAAGCCATTTGCAAACGACAAGCACATACAAAGTGCGAGCATGCGCACACATGATCAACAGGATGCTGGTTGCAGTTAATGGATTCACTCTCTAGCTTGCTACACCACCACCGCAATTCCTCTCCCTCTATCTCTGTCTCTTTCTTTCTCTCTCTCTCTCTCACTTGCTCGTTCTCATTAAGCCGAGAGGACTGACAATGGGACTCCATATTACACTTTTGATGCCCACCAGTGTTGTTCAGAAAGATACACATAGTACCTTTACCTGGATGCTGAACTTGTCACAAATTGTAGTGAATGACAAGACAAATAAGGTAGTTTTATGAAAGTCATTGTATTACCCATTGGCATATTGTTTTTGTCACCTATATCTGATAGTAGCAGAGGGTATTTGAAAAAGACAAAAGATCAAAAGATCACTGTCTTCAGTGGTAGCTTTGGCTCTGACTTGAATGTAAAGTGAAAATGTTGCACAATATTGAAATTGTCTGAGTCAACCTGAAATGTGACAACATTGGGTGTTTGGACAGCGTTCACCTCCTTTAACCAACAGTGATAACTGGGTTGAGAGTTCGGTGGTTTGAGCCTAATCAATAAAGCAGCACCTGTGGTTTGACATGGATTATTTTGGAGAAATCTGAACATATTCTTTAATCAAAGCAAAGTCACACAGCAAATATTTGATACAATGAAAATAAGACTAGCATGACTAAATCATCCATCCATCCATCCATTTTCCTCCGCTTATCCGGGGTCAGGTCGCGGTGGCAGCAGGCCAAGCAGGCTGACCCAGACCTCCCTCTCACCGGCAACATGTTCCAGCTCATTCTGGGGGATCCCGAGGCGTTCCAAGGCCAGCTGGGAGATGTAATCTCTCCAGCGTGTTCTGGGTCTTCCCCGGGGTCTCTTCCCAGTTGGACGTGCCTGGAAAACCTCCAGTGGGAGGCGTCCAGGAGGCATCCTAATTAGATGCCCGAACCACCTCAGCTGACTCCTTTCGACGCGAAGGAGTAGCGGCTCGACTCCAAGCTCCCTCCTGATGACCGAGCTCCTTACCCTATCTCTAAGGCTGAGCCCAGCCACCCTACGGAGGAAACTCATTTCGGCCGCTTGTAGCCGCGACCTTGTCCTTTCGGTCACGACCCAGAGTTCGTGACCATAGGTGAGGGTAGGAACGTAGACCGAGTGGTAAATTGAGAGCTTTGCCTTCCGGCTCAGCTCCCTCTTCACCAAGACGGTCCGGTGCAACGCCTGCTTTACTGCTGCAGCCGCACCGATCCGTCTGTCGATCTCCCGCTCCATCTTATCCTCACTCGTGAACAAGACCCCGAGATACTTAAACTCCTTCGCTTGAGGTAGGCACTCCGTCCCCACCTGGAGGGAGCAATCCACCGGTTTCCGGCAGAGAAACATGGCCTCAGATTTGGAGGTGCTAACTCTCATCCCCGCCGCTTCACACTCGGCTGCAAACCGCCCCAGTGAATGCTGGAGGTCATGATC